TCGATTCGGAAGGTCTTCCCGAGTCCATTGGTGGCTTTCCCGACTCTCTAGCTCCATTTGATCGGGAGTTATTGACGAAAAACTCGTACGACCCTAGTGACGTCATAAATGACGTCACGCAAGGTTAACAATGCAAAAGTAAAGCATTGGACTTTGCAAGGAGTGCATGAAATCACGATACCATGTACGTGGGATAGTTTTAGATCATTCTCGGCGCCAAAATAACAGTTTTTATATTTCCCCATTGATTTACAACAGTGATGTCACGTGACCGACCTGACCTCATGTAACCTTGAAAAATCCCCAGATATACAAGTTGTGAGACCTCTGGAGGACACCATGTATTCGTCCTGTAACTTTCATCTCGGACAGCTATGGTCATTGGCGTCCAAAACAATGTCAGAACCAAACAGCCTTTTTCACCCTCGCGCTTATAGGAAAGAGGGTTGGATGAACCCTCTTTTCGCTTTTTTCAGATGACTCAGACTTAAATGGAAATTTCAGTAACCCGTGATGTCACTAGGCAGCTTTACCACGCCATTTGTAAGCTCCCCTCCCGAAATCAATATTCGAAACCGTTATCGTGACGTAAAATAAGCACATTTATAGAAAGAACACCTTCCTAATTTTTTGCATACTTCTTAACAATGAGCCAAATATTTTTTTTTAAAGAAATAAAAATTCAAAAAAATTTGGTCCTAAAGTCCAAAAATACAAATGAAAGAAAACTCGATATGTCATATATCAAAAATAGGGTATTTTTGGAAATTTCAAAAATACATATTAATCTCTGTTTCATTGCAAGTTCAATGTTATATAACATTTGGCATTTGAATAACACTATGCAACAGTCATTTTGTTCCTGAGTAACGACCGATTTTTTTGGACTCATTGGGTCCCATTATAACCGAAATGGGCATTTTTTTTATCTGAAAATGCTTTTCCGGTTTTCAGAGACGATTTTCGATTTTTGGCCCCGAAATTCGGTTTTTGGCCCACTGTGTCCGGTGTAATTGAGTAATCGACTCGCGGTAACTTTCATCGCCCTTCCTATGCCACAAGCTTTCGAATGATATCCGGTTTTGCAAATTTGCGTGTAAAAATAACGTCATAAATCTATGTTAAAGTAAGAAAATATTGAAATTTTGTAAAAATTTGACTTTTTTTCGATTTCATTTCAAAATAGAAAAAAACTAAAGGCCCTATCCAAATTCTGAGCCCAGTTCCTTGAAGAGCATTCAATTTCCGTTCGGAAGGTACTATTTTAGTGCATTTTATCGGTTTACTGTGGCGTCCAGATTGAGTCACTTGAAAAACGGGCCCCCAACAGATCAAGATTCTGAGCGACAGGACTGCTCAAAAGTAAGTTCCTGCGTGTGACCCGAGGTCACAAGGGGTCAACAAAATGACCTCAGTTGACCCCTCGTTGATCCTATGGCGTTAACATACGTTATCAGGTTAATGCTATGTGATATGACTTAGGATATGTGTTTAGGTTAACTCAATCTGGACGCCACAGGAATCCGATAAAATGCACTAAAAAAGGTACCTTCCGAACGGAAATTGAATGCTCTTCAAGGAACTGGGCTCAGAATTTGGATGGGGCCTTTAGTTTTTCCTCTATTTTGAAATGAAATCGAAAAAAATGTCAAATTTTTACAAAATTTCAACATTTTCTTACTTTAACATAGATTTATGACGTTATTTTTGCACGCAAATATGCAAAACCAGATATCATTCGAAAGCTTGTGGCATAGGAAAGGCGATGAAAGTTACCGCGAGTCGATTACTCATTTACATCGATTACTCATTTACATCGGACACGCTGGGCCAAAAACCGAATTTCGGGGCCAAAAATCGAAAATCGTCTCTGAAAACCGGAAAAGCATTTTCAGATCAAAACTAATGCCCATTTCGGTTATAATAGGACCCAATGAATAAGAATAATTCGGTCGCTTTCCAGGAACAGAAAATTTTTCATTTTTTGTTGCATAGTGTAATCCGTCTTAGAGTTAGGTACAGCCCGCCAAACTTAGCGCTGCAAAGCAAGATCAAAAAAATGTTATACACCATAACTCAAAAAATACTTGTCTGATAAGCCTGAAATTTTTACAGGTGGATTCAGAGCCCCTGATTACCCCTGAGACCAATTCTTGTCAAATTCCGAGAGATGAGGGTGTCAAATTGGAAAAAAGTGGTACGATCTATCGTGGAATGCCCCAGTTACCAAGGAAGTGTGCAAAAAAATGAGCCCAATCAGACTTGTTAGCGCGTGGCCATAGCCTTAATTGTGAACAAGCCAAAATGCTGATAATTTTTATTTTTACCTGACCTGTGTCGTCATCAGTGGCCATAGCCATAAGCCATAAGCGTTTATTAGAATTCTTCCACGTGGTGGCTAATACGAATTCGGTCGAGTGGTTTACAGAAAAAGCACAAATGCCCAAATTTAAACGATCCTTAATCAAATATACATGATTAAACGTGCTGTACAAGTTGCGTGTAAAAGACTGGGAATATATCTAAAAGCGACATGGACGACACGTTTGAAACACTAAAATATAACAGCGTTTTAAAATACAACCAAATGCATCATCATCTTGCGCCTATCCCCCTAGTGCCTAATGTGTGCGGCTTGCGCTCCACGCCGACACGGCCCTTTAAGCGAACTCCCGCTGGGTTTTCATGGGAACTCTCCATTGGCCTCGAGGTCAATGAAATTAGGCTTCGTTCGACAGTTTTTCTAGGGGTATCAGACGCCGTTTCAATTTTGATGATCGGCCCAGTAGTTTCGGAGATAGCAGAGGGCTCTGTAGAGCCCCCCCCCCCCCCCCGTCAAGTCAGCCGCGGCATGGAAAATGCCCCATGCATGCGCGGGTTAAACGAACGGACGCTTAATTCAGACATATAAACTTTAACAGGAACGAGCAAATAAAATGGAACACGTGGGTGCACTCTCACACTATGTATGTAAGAATGCTTATTTTACCGTCCAGCTTATGTGCCAATTGTTCAAATAATGCGTCAAGGTATCGCTCAAATGTTCATGGATGAGGTTTATTATGCCCAAAGCTCTGGTTCGAATGATCAACAAGAGTGGGAAGGTAAGAAGGTAGTGGAAGAGCGAGCCTGTTCTCCGGAAGCCAAACAAGGAGAGCATTTTGGTCAGAAGAAGATGACTAGAGCACTAAGATTTCACGTGACATTTTGGTCGTTGCATGATATCGTAACCGAATGCTTGTTTGCAAGCTACCTGAGCTGCGGTGTCACTAAGTGCCATCCTAGAGAACCTACCAGCTAATACACCTTTTTGCGTTGTTCGATGGCCAATCGTCATAACCACTTCGGCATCAGTTTGGACAAGCGTCATTCAGCATAACCCATCGGCGATGTGCATCACTGTTTGACGGTCGGCAAAACAGGCTGGACTCCATTTAACTATTCTGCATAACTCATTGTCCTTGGGCGGAATGTTCGTCACGGGCAAAACACTTTGTCAGATTGTGATAATGCTTCAACATTTCACAAAATGGTTAATCGATGTGCAAAATTCATCGGTACTGTGCGTAAACAATGACTGTTGATGTAAAACTTTCGTCAATGATCAAAATGTCAATGAGGTAGTGCTTATCTAGTCATATTAGATGTTAAACGTTTATCACACATTCATGGATGAGGCTTGCGACATGTTCCAGCGCAATTTGCATTAATTGGCCTCTGACCAATTAACTAATCAACCATTAGATTCCGAAAAAGGCAGTAGGTATACGATAGCTACGAGGAGACTGCCGATGCAATATCGAGTAGAATGTAGACGGTCGAACGTCAGACTCCTAAGCGTTTCGATGTAAACTACGAAGCCGGCCGTCATCATCGCGTCACTGTCCGAGCGATGTCATGGGACGACGCCTCGGGCGGCCGCGCCGGTCGGACTCGCGGGGAACGGCTGACAGATGGCGAGCCGGGCCCGGCCGGCCCACCGCCCAACACCTTTGTTTGAGGCGGGGTGGACTTATCAAACGCTCTGTTGTTGCCTGTTCATTGTTCAACCAGTCGATATCGTGTCAGCTACGTCCATGTGCATTGTACCTATGGCGCTCATGAACAGCTACCGATTCTTATGTGAATAAATGACCTACGAGTTTCGCCACCTATGCCTCGCACTGCACTGTATAAACGCGGTCATATTTATACTTGTCTGTAAAGGGGCGATCTGTTTTTAGTTTTGACGAAATGTTATTATGAATGCCGAAATTAGCATGGTGATGTTTTGGCGAACGACGAAGGGCTGTTACTGAATGACGAAGCATTTATCCAAATCGTCAAAGGTTTTGCCGGAATTCAATCAGTTATGGCGAATAGCGAATGTTTTACCAACTGACGAACTGTGGAGTGGGATCAGCATTCCGGTTTGCCCATATGCTGAAGGTTTTGCCGGAATGCCTCTCACTGGCGCCACCTATGTGCTGATCGGACGAATGGGTTTTGCTGATAGGCCATCGAACAACGCAAAAAGGTGTAGAAGCCAATGATGCGACCTTCATGAGGTTTTTGGATGGCGTTGAGCGCTTAAATGGCGTTGAACAGAAAATGGCTTTATAAGCCCATGTGCATTATTCTATGCTTGACACACCTCATCCTGCGGTAGGCAGCTATTGTCACTGATAACCGACAGAAGCGTCGTTCCAAATATCATCCAAACGATCTACATCCGCCGGCTCGCGGTGGAGCTGTTGACGGCTAAATCCGGCGGGTGAGTCCCCCACCGGCGCCGGTCGCTCCGTCACAGCGTCGCGGATAAATGGTCGACGCAGTGAGCAGTGACAAATTGGTCATTAAGCCGTGCGTTAAACACACGGGTCGGCTGCAAAACACTCCTCCTCCGCCCGCGCCGCGCGGCCGCTCCGCTCAGACCGGGCTCTGATTGGCCGCCGCTCAGCTAGGCCCCGCCCCCGGCGGCCGCTCGGGCGACAAATGAGCTGCTGAGCGGCGGCGGCGGCCGCCCAAGGACCGGCTCAGTAGCGCCCGAGGGGGTCTGTCGGCAGCCGCTGTCCGCCGCCGCCGCGACGAGCTCGTGACCATGCTGGCCGTGACGGAGGCGGAGACAGCGCCGGCGCTGCCGCCGCCCTTCTCCGTGGAGAGCATCCTGGGCAGGCGGCCGGAGCGGGCCGGCACGCAGCCTCCGACCCGGGCCGGAGCCGAGCGGCCCGGCGCCGCCGCCGCCGCCGCTGACGACACCATCGATGTCGACATCGACACGGAGGACACCGAGACCGGTGAGACGGGACACCAGAGTCTGACACGTTCCCAATAGTTCCCTGTAGGAACATCAGTTCCCGGGGGTCAGCCGCGCTAAACGTGACAATGATCCGAGTGTTGGATTAGATCTGTGATCTTAGTGGATCTCAAATTTAACGTTAAGATTTATGGTTCTATTGGATCCAGTTTTGAAAAACTAGCCCGGATGTATGATCTCGTGAAATTTGTCGACCGAGCAAGGACAAGAATCTTGTCTGAATCTATCATCTGTATGGATCCCACAATATGCAGCCTGTGAAACCTGATATCTTGTTTTTGACATGATGCGTTTTAATGTTTATTAGCGTCACAAAACTGTGAATTGAGGACTGCTCTTAAATTGCATCCCTGAAACAGAACCGTTGAAACCTGCAACACATGTACAGCCCACCGCTAAAGTAATGTAGGGTTTTACCAATCTCAACGGTTGGCTTTGACTGGCGATTGTTTAATGCGGAGCGATCGAAAAGAAGATGTCAATAGCTGAAATTGGAGCTGCAAGGGTGACGATACATATAAGCTACATTCAAAATTTCATTGTAGTCTGGCTAATCGTTCCTAAGCTTCAGAAGCAGAACATACCCGTGACTGAAACCCCATGTTACTTCTGCTGTGGACTGTACCTATCTTCAAACAGTACTCACGAATTATTTCGACGAAACCTAGACTCAAATTTGGAATCCCAAGAGATTTCAACAAAATAAAAGAGGTCCATGATTCCATCGGATGCAAGATCGAAATCCGTGGGATCAGACATAATACCCATATCCTCGGGTCTTTTCATTGCTTATATCTGGTGAACAGATTGTAATTTGTAACGTGCCACGCAGTGCTTCAAGTCTAAAGATCACATAGAAGCAGAACATTCCCATCTGAAAACACACTGTATAATGCATATATCTAGGACCAATTTCACACTGTGACCAGCAGATAATTCCACTAAGATCCTACATTCGTTTCGTACATTTACAACGGTGTTTGAGTTTACCACGCGCAGTAGAATGGTTCCAAGAACTACGTCCAGTGTGGGGGGGGGTGAATGCCCCCCCCCCCTCCTTTGATCTCAGCTCTTATCGAGGCCAAAAAGACGAAATTTGGAGACGTGGATGGGGTGATGGGAAACTCGGCTTGCGTGTTAATTTCATGATGCTACGTCAATATCTTCCAGAACAAATGAGGTGAAACGGGATCACTTTGCCAGATGAGGGTCTATTTTGTGTTTACACGCCCATACCTCGAAAAGTCAACAAACGATTTTCTCATTTATTTCACTATACGACGGCACATTTATTTTTTTAGCAATAATTGCCAATCTAGTTAATTCAGCTATAATAATGGCAATTAGAACTCTGCTAAGGGTAAGATATCTTCCGGTTGAGGCGGGTTGCAGCCGCCGCGGGAAGCTTCAGTCACAATTTTGTGTTTACATACTCGTAAGTCAAAATGTTCCCGGCTGTTCTTCGTGTTTCTTTCACCATAAGATTGCCTGCACGCTACTCAGTCTTCACAAAGATCTTGACGCGAATCGAGCAACAGAAGCGGTAAGCAGCGCAATGCAAAGGCGGAACCGTCCGGCGCCGGCAGCGAGAATCGGCCACCGCTCCGGCGCACTATGGTTGGAAACGGCCTCACGGATGGCCGGGGGTCAACGCGAAAAAATGTTTTGCCCATAACTTGTTAATGCGTAGACCGACTGCGATGAAACTTTGCATAGGTATACCAGTGTCTTTCGTGCATCATACAGTAGCTCAGAAATGACGAGGTCACGTCACGTCACGCGTGTGTGACGTCATCATTGCAAGTATGTCATAAGTCGCCTATGTCTTTCGTTATGTTATCGATATCGTGAGGCATTTTGAACATGTTTTGAATACTGCTATTACTGAATGGATATTGTTGTTATGCTTTAGGGCGAGAAATATCAACGTAGTGACGCACAGTGTCTTACTATTGGTCATAAAGGGTCACAAATTTGGAGAAAGAGTATTTATGATTTTTTTTTTTAGATTAGGCAAAAAAGTAAGAAATAAAATGACGATCAAATGACAAAACATGCGTCAGATTAACCCGGCAGTTGCTGGGGTATTTCCCCATCCGCCGTTTGCCGGGGGGGGGGGGCGTTCAACGCCCCCAGCCGATAACTCGCGAACAAATAGGCGCAGCGAAACGCACGAGGCGCGGCAAACGAAAGAAGAACGCGACGAGACGATTCACATGAATACTTTAAAGCTGAATTTCGAGGTCACAGGTCGGGTCAAGGTCAGGTCAAACACTTGAAATCGGGCTTTCAGTAGCATGGACTTTAGAACCTCGCAATCGGTGCCTCGCGTTTCGCGTTTCGATTATATCGTCATCAGTTGGTCCTAAATAAATTCAGTCATCAGTTGGTCCTAAACAATCTGTCACAACTGTCACAACTGTCACAACCCTTCATATAAGTGCTAAAAGAGTGTCAGATCAATGTAGGGGTCAGTCAAGCATAGGCCACTGGCCAGGGTCAAAGTCAGGTCAATCAGGTAAGCACATAACCCCGAAAATTAAAACTGGTACCTATCCGCAGCCCATGCATGACACATGTTTTATGGGTACTTTTGGGCGTAGAACACGATGGTGACATTCATTTTATCATACGAGTACGTGGCTGGTTGAAAAAAGATCAATTTCAGAAATGCATGCGTCATGGTCGTGAAGTAGTCACGAGAAATTGCCAACATTCAGTTCAAGATTTTGGAAACTGTAGAACGATGATCAAAAACCATAGATAGCCATTTGATTTGCCATGGTATTGGCAGTGTAATGGAGTTTACAGCATGTCTGTATGTCTGTTCTGTCAGTGGATATCCATATCCATACTCCAGGATATCCATACACGTTTGCACGATATTCATACTCCAGGTGCAGGGGCGAGCAGTTACTTCTTACGAGGGGTGCGGAGTCGAAGTCAGAGTCGGAGTCGGAGTCGGAGTCGGAGTCAGAGTCGCCCAGAGTCGTGGCAACGAGCCAGGAGTCGGAGTCGGAGTCGGGGTCGGTCAGGAGCCCGCAGTGGAAGTCGGAGTCGGTCCGAATCGGAACAGCTCCATCGCGACTCCGAAACACTGGCAGGGGTCCGGAGTCGGAGACAGAGTCGGCCGGAGTCATGGCAACGAGTCAGGAGTCGGAGTCGTAGTCGGAGTCGGATTTGGCGCCACCACGACTCCGCAACCCTGCTTCTTACCATCATTTATAAGGATAAGCGATTGCAAGACTGACGAGCCGACCTGGTGCTAACGAAGCGACGGGTAGGTACGCCTCGGGAGATGACGCTTCACGGACGATTTTGCGCACAAGTGCGCAGTCTGCTTTTACGTTCCCCTTACGCAGAATTGAACAGCGATTTATTCTGCCAAAAAGCTCAATGGAGGTCGATGGAGAACTTTTTGTATGTCCAATGAAACATAAACGCAATTTTGCAAATATTGCTGTGGTGACACTGCAAACAGAATGCAATGCCGTTCCTGATTTTGAACACGCATGGGAAAAAGAGTCACTCCACTCGATAGCCAACATAACAAGGATTATTTTGATATATAATAATCCAGTTTTACAACGTCATGGAGGTACTCCACATGCTATCACCAGCGCGGTTGTTTAAACCTTTGACGGCGCACCAAAAAAGTCACTGTCAGAAACTCCCGATTCCACGTACAATAATGGAGACTAAATGCGCAACTAAATAATTTTTTCTGCCCAATTCAAAACATTTCATCAATTTCCAACAGAATGACACCCCAAATATACATATATTCCGAAATTGCCCACGGCCATCCGTGAGGCCGTTTCCAACCATAGTGCGGCGTGATTTTTTACTTAACGTTATGAGGTTATCGGTGGAGCCAACAAATAACAAAATGTACTTACTTTTATTGACGTTTCGGTTTCAAACAACCTTCGTCAGAATAGAATTACAAGTTACGTCTCATATTTCAAAAATGCACATATTTCAAACACACTGAGAACATAGCAGAGATAAATTTATGAATTGAATTTATCAATTCATTTATTTGAATATATATTTATTAATTATTAATATTAATAATATAATTATTAATATTAATAATTAATTATTAATATTAATAATTAATTCAATATATTTATTGAATTAAATAATTTATTGAATTTATTATTTAATTTATTTTTAATTTATAAATTTATTAATATAAATTTATGAATATGAATTTATCTCTGCTATGTTCTCAGTGTGTTTGAAATATGTGCATTTTTGAAATATGAGACGTAACTTGTAATTCTATTCTGACGAAGGTTGTTTGAAACCGAAACGTCAATAAAAGTAAGTACATTTTGTTATTTGTTGGCTCCACCGATAACCTCATAACACAAATATGTCCCTAAATAATCAGCATTTTTACTTAACACCCTTGTAAATTGTAACTAAAGAAAAATGAGGACTGATTTACTTATTGCTTGCAAGGAAAGGTGTGCGATGTCATTTAAGGCGGGTGGTGACAATTTGACGTAAATAGAATGATTATGGCGTGAGATATTAGCGAAAAACAGGAAGGTGGGCCAAATTTGCCCCGCCCCCTATCCTACTGCGCGTGTAAAATGATGGATCTCGATACGGAATCATGCACAAAAGTGGCGACAGAAACGGTCTCTACAAAAGGGCTCTGTATGTACAGCCCGCTCCCATTTTTCTGCAATATCTTTAAAGCAATTAAAGGTGTCGTCACGAAACGCTCAGTTCCTTCACATACATTAATTAAACACATTGTGTTTACAGAAGAAAAAAACTCTTAGCTACCATAGGTCGGCCGGATATTAAGCTAACACCAATTGGTTTGCATGGGAAGACACAAGATACTCAGTGCTATCAAACGTCTATCCAGGGAACAATTTTGACACAACACATAAAATAACAATTATCTTTTTTAATTTTGAGCTATTAAATTAAAGCTTTTCAAAAACAAAATGGAACATTTATGATAGAACACATAACGACAACATAGTCTAGAAAGTTTTAGCCGTATATCGTCACAAATGGCAAAATTATCCAGCTTTTACATCCTACCGCAGTAAATTGGGTAATTTAAGTGCAATTTTTAGTACGTTATAGACATCCTAAACCAATACAAATAGGCTTATTGTGTTCCTAACCTCAAACAGTATCTGACAGGGACGTTTTTTGTTGACAAATTTCAACTATAAAACATGACCTTTTTTACCTGACCGTGGCCTTGGCATCGCTATAATTAGCTGAAAGTAGCTTAAGACGACAAAGGCGACACTATTTTCTAATTTTATAGCCAAAATGATATGTTACATAACCTATACAAACTTGGAAATTTCCCATTTGTGGCCTATGCTAAACCAGCCATGAACTGAAAATACCGCGTACAAACTCGATAACCACAGGCTATCTTCAGCACACATTTGTGTAAACCAAATATGGGCTCGATGTGTTTGTGAAGTATTTGGCGGCGACCAGAGACCGAACTGTGAGCATGTCCAAATATTGCTAGTCTTCACTTTGACCGGACCTGTGACGTCATCGGTGACCTTGAAAGAAGGCCTCGGACGAAAGTTTCTCCAATCTTATCAAACGTCGTTTGAATTTTGACAATCAGACCAGTAGTTTCGGGGATAGGAGCACCCTCCCGTAGAGGGGGAGGGGGGCTCTGTAGTCTCTGTAGAGCCCCCCCCCCCCCCAGTCAATCGCGTTATGGGATATACCTGGTTAATGCGCTGGTTTATTTAGATATATTTTTGACATGGCTGATACTGGTAACTACACTTTCATTAGTTTGAACTCTTCATTATTTATATCGTAGTTCTTATCTTAAAACAAAAGGTGAACTGCCAATGTCGTTGACATCATCGTTGGCAATGCTGGTGACTCATCATGGCATGTGTAAATGCAAGTGCACAATCAGTCCAAAGTTGGTCCCGCTCAAATAGAGTATTCTGGTAGCGGAGTTCCACTACGAATGAGAATCAATCAGAAAACAATGCACCTCTGCACTGACCTGTTACTGGTTACTGATTAACCAGCCTAACCACCAAACACTGACCACTGACAATCCCCCTCCGCTGACCGCTGACCAGCGATCAGTGGCCAGTCAATGATCGCCACCAGCCCCACTATCTGGTATCACAAACACTATCAGACCCGGATGCTGCCACCGGAGCCCGCGGCACAACAGACATTCCGCGGGGCTGCCAGGTCAGCACAACACTGACCGGCGGCCGGCGGCGGCGGCCGGCAGGCACCCGGCGACCGATACCGCGCCGCACCGCGTCCGACCGTCTGTTTGGGGCCTCGTCAGCACTCTGTGGCCGACACAACCTCACGCTATCAGTGGCCACGTGAGCCGGCCGACACGGCGCTAAGTGGCCGTGGAGGAGGCCTTGTGGCGAGGCAGGTCGCGTGCCGCCCACCGGCGACCGGCCACCGGCGCGGCGAGGACAGGACAGGCTGGGGCAACAAACGAGGCGACCGAGGCCACAGGAGCTTTTGGCATGTAAAACTAGAGCCTTTCAGGGGAAGGATTTTTAAAAGAAATATTGGGGATGCTGATAAACTAACTTTATAGGCTCAGAGATCGTCTGCTACCTCCAGTGGTTGTGCAAGAATTGAATATCCAATTCCATGTCCCAGTGCAACAGATGAGTTACTTGCCTAGGACAACAAAGTAAACAGCCCAAATAGCACACGCTCGTTTGTTGCTGGTGTGGTACTGATCACAATTGATGACGCCAGGTGCTGTTCCGGCAGGTCTGTCGACAGGTCTGGACGCTGTCGGCGAGGGGGACGCCGTGGAGGGAGACGAGGGTGCCGGGGAGCGTCCCAGGAAGAAGCGCTCGCGAGCCGCCTTCTCACACGCCCAGGTGTACGAGCTGGAGCGGCGCTTCTCCCACCAGAAGTACTTGTCGGGCCCGGAGCGCGCCGACATGGCGCAGGCGCTCAAACTCACCGAAACTCAGGTGAGCTGGCGAGACTCATTGAGTGTAAGGGTGAGCTAGCGAGACTCATAAGGAGTAAGGGGGGCTGGCGAGAGTCATAGAGACTCAGGTAAGCTGGTGAGACTCATAGAGGGCAAGGTGAGCTGGCGAGACTTATAGAGAGCAAGGTGAGCTTGCGAGACTCATTGAGTGTAAGGGTGAGCTGGCGAGACTCATTGAGAGCAAGGTGAGCTGGCGAGACTCTTCTCAGAGAGCACGGTTTGCTGGCGAGACTCATAGAGAGCAAGGTGAGCTGGCGAGACTCATAGAGAGCAAGGTGAGCTGGCGAAACTCGTAGAGAGTAAGGTGAGCTAATGGGATTAATGGAGAGTAAGGTGTGCTGTGAAACTCACTAAAACTCAGGTGTACTGGTGGACTGATCGATACTCAGATGAGCTGGTGAGTCAGGCATCACAACTCGCTTCCTATATATTATTTTTTTATCTTTGTCATTTTTCTTTCTCGGTTACATTTCCACTTCTTATCTAACTTTAAAGGGACTATCCCACCTTCTAAAATGTTGTTAAAACCAGTTAAATTGTGCCCGACTTTATAGATTGGATGACCAGGAACACGGTTCTGGCATTTATTTTTCATTAAACATCTTAGGCTTCACATATTCCAAACAAACACAAACTTTCCTTTCAAATATGTGACGTCACAGCCCAAAATTACCTCCTTTCCCAGGCCACATTACTGTCAAAAAGCTGATTCTTTTTACTCTGTAGGCACCACAACAAAGTTCAGACCAAGTTTTAAGCGATTTTTTAACGAACAAACCCATTTAAATCAGAATGACTAAACGAGGTGACGTCACACTAACGGTCGCTCCGTGTTGAAGATAGGGCCTTACACAAGGCCCATTTTCAAATGAAGGGAACGAATTTCTTCAACACCAAGAGGCCGCGGGGGTTGCAACCTAGATAGATAGTGGTTTCTGAACCTCGCCGCAAACTTGGCTATCTCAACTCAAACCCCATGTTAAAGGTGGGGTAGTCCCTTTAACCCGGCCGGGCCCGGGGGTAATCCCAACCACCGCAGCCCGGGGGGGGGGGCGTTTTTCGCCCCCCTGTCTAACTCCGTAAATAAGGGAGCTACGGAAACAAAAGCGATACCAAACGAAAGGTCCTTACGAGACAATTCTAAAGCACCTAAAATTTTTGACCTCAGGTCAATTTTCAAGGTCAGAGGTCAAGGTCAAAGGCAAAAACCGGCACATGTGTAGTGATCTCAAAGTAAGCCTTCTAGAGGATGGCAGGATGCATCAAACCGGCAAAATTGGGTATCAAACGAAAGAAGAGAATCTGAGGATTCCGAATATGTGCTCCAAATTAAAGGTCAAGGTCAAGGTCACGCTCACAATTGACCTCAAACTTTGCACTTTTTCGTACATCTTGCGTGCTAACTTCCAAGACGTTTTGAAATGTTTGGAGGCTTATCAGTTCCCTATTTGTGGTTCATCTTACGATACAAGGCTGCTCAAAGGTCAAGGTCACAAGAGTATCCTTGCTAGAGGCTATTTCACTAATTCAAGCTAGTAATAATAAATAAGACAATTTTGCCATCCGGAAGCTCTAAATGAAGGCTTAGAGGAAAATGGATGCCAGATTCGTGATCAGCGGGTACAAATCCATTATAAACGACCTTTCATGTGTCAAGGTCAACCAAAGGTCATTCGAGGTCACATGAGGTCAACATAAAATTTGACCTTTTCCAAACAAAATATATATCATTCGACGCGGCTTGACACGGCGAATGCGATGGTACCACTGCCGTAGCTCTAGGACCATTTTTGTCGAAGTTATTTGCGAAAAACTAAAACCACATTTCGGGGTCGTTGACCTGACCTCTGACCTCAGGTCACCAAAACTATTTTTCTATTTTTCTCTAGGTCAAACGCTACACAACCGTGCTCGTAATTTGTCTTTATCTCTAAAACTCTATTTTTAGCAGCTATTTGAAGTTCGCGTCTGTGACGCCGAAGTTTGCCTTGCAGGGGTCTAGAAAAATCGACCTTGTGACGTCATCAAGGGGGCTAGGTCAAAAATTTTTACTTCAGAAGATGTCAAATTGATGGGAGAAAAGGTACTGAAAGTTTCGCTTTCCTATCCCTAAGCGTTCGGGAGCTATCGCAAATATTCGCCAGGGAGGGCGAAAAACGCCCCCCCCCCCCCCGGGCCCGCGAGGGTTAAGTAAAAGAATACAAAAGATGCACTGCAATATTTATCAGTGTACATATATTACGCATGATACTAGTCGTTCAATCACGGCAAAGTTTCCTCGTAGGTATACATAGATCAACCGTATATTAGATCACCAATCAACACTTTACTTTAAAACACAAAGGTGGGCTTTAACTTCATTCCCCTACGCCTTCAATTTGTTGCGTAACTCTGGTGAATATCTCGAGATTAGTGTCATAACCGGCAGCAATTGCATTACCATTGAAAATCAAGAGACGCTTTAAGCGATTTCTTTATTTAAAGCAGACCACAGACATAGAGCCAATAAAAGCGAAGATCTAAAGCATTCCTTGCTTCTGAGAAGAGTGTGAAGTATAAAGGTCTTACAGTCATTGCCCGGCATCATTAGCAATCCATGTAAATGATACTCTTATCTCTGTGCCAGTTCACCCGTGCCACAGGAAACAAATCATGAATACCTGTGGATCAAAGTGCCCTTGTCGAGCACAGAGGGTCATTAATAACGGTCGATGAAGCCGATCATTGTGGCCGACCGGAAGCGGTGTGTCGGGGAAATGGCCGTCACCTGCCGCGGCCTGACGCTGCCCGGTCTAGGTCAGTTGAGCTCATTGGCAGCTGTAGCCTCCGGTGACCCACCGCCGGATTAATCTGGTGAAAGGGCGCCCCGATTCGGCTCAGCGGCGCAGCCTGAACTGAGGATCAGACAAATAGAGTTATTGTGCAGCGACTTTTCGATACTTCATGTATTTATGGTGCAATCGGCGTGTTTATTTTGTCAGGCAAAAGGCAAAACCTATGTCAAGTCTGCAGTTCTCCCCATTTTCGTGTAAGGCATGAAATTCGGAAGAGAAATAATGCCGATCTTTATTGTGTTATTTGGTTTTACTCCATATCCAGGTCGGTTTCGGTCATATGCACTTCCTTGAATCTCTTCCTGTGCTGTTCACCTGAATGGGTATTGAGCTGTATCACAACAGATCACTGAAGGGCGCAATCGATCAATCATTTACATCATCTGACGCGGGTCAGTGTTTGTAGCACAGTGTTTATTCAGTGCAGTGTAAATGACTCCAGCACACGCACGGAGCAGTAGAAGGGCCGCTCGGACAATTACCAATGGAAGGCGCGGCAGTGTCTCCGGCGACTCCGGTCAACACTCGGCGTCCAGACCGTGTTTGATTTCAGCCGATTTTGTGCGGGTAAACACACTATACAGCCCCTCTCAACGAATGAATCGCGTCCTGAAGCGCCGTATGACGAAAAAGTCAATTTAGCTGTCGTAATATTTGATCGATCCCGGGCGAAGAAAACAACACCAGGCACTCAGCCATATTGGGCAAAGCGAACAGGTACATGAGAGGTCCAGCACTGGACGAGCCTCTCCTTTCTGTCTTGTACTTATCACTTTCTATCGGTTTTCCATGTTCAGAGCTACTGCGTTTGTCCATCTGGTAATGTTCATTCCCTTTTTGATAGAAAATTATGCATATTCGACTTAAGATTGCATACGTTAAAGTAATTACCCAGGCAGTTCAGGCAATTTAATCCTACCTATTTATTCACTTTTGCGTTTTAGGAATTAATTGATTTGTTTGCTAATTACCTATCACAAAATCCTTCAAATATGCCTGGGTTCTATGAACCGTCAGCACGTAGAATTTTGTTCTACGCGCAATGACAAAACTAAAGGAGGATTGTTTGCGGACTAAAAACGTTCCGTTCCGTTTCAGATAAAGATCTGGTTCCAAAATCGGCGCTACAAGACGAAGCGGAAGCAGCTGCAGCAGGAGCTGAGCTCTCAGGCGGCGCGCAAGGTGGCCGTGCGCGTGCTGATGCGTGACGACCAGCTCGTGTACGAGCCGGAGCCGGCCGCCGCCGCCGCCGCCGCGGCGGCCGCGGCGCGCTGCCGGCCGCCGGTGCTGTTCCCGCCGCTCTCGCTGCCCAGCTTCCCGGGCTTCTACTACCCGTACCTGTACAGCCAGCTGGGGCCGCACCTGCTGCCGGCCGCCGCCGCCATGAACGTCTACAGCAGCCTGCTGGGCGAGCGGCGCGGCCCGCCCGGCCCGCCCGCGCCGCCCCCGCCCCCGCCCGAGCTCACGGCCGACGAGCCCGCCGCCGCCGTCCGAAAATCGTCCGGCAGCGAGCCCGAGTGAAGAGACGCCGCCGTGAGACACGGCAGTGCGATACCTACGAGAATGAGCGAGGGCAGAAGGGTGGGTACAGGCTGAATAAGAAGGGTAAGACTACTTTTAAAAGGGACACGATTTCATCCGAGCTTGTTGTTATCTGGCCAACAGAGTGGATGAGTACGGGAGCGGAAAAGCTTACTTTATAATGTTTACTTGTCATCTTTATAAGTTTATTCACCCTGTTTCGAATATGTTATTTGAGGGTTATGGATTTTATCAAAGCTGACGAGGTGATTCCTATGTGCCCGACGGAAACCCACACAATAAACTTGACTTTCAACAGGCATTAATTTCATTAACTAGGTATATTCCCTGGTCAGACACATTTGATCGGTTAAAAAATCATTGGCACTGTGTCCATGTCTGCATATAAATGCGTGCGTTAAGTTCTTACCTGAGGAGAGATGTACTGCTTTTGGGACAGTGTTGACACGAGTAGAGATAGCGAAGGCTCGCCCGCATGTCCATGAGGGGCTGCTTGACTACGTGGACATATGCTTGTGTTGTTGTAGCATTCATGCTTCACCCATAGCTGATGGCTATGTTGTTTCACGCTACGAGACATTTTCTGTGTTCGTTGTGCGGTTTAAAGCTCGTCGCTACTTCCTTTACATATCACTTTCGTCGCTGGCTTTTAGTATAATAGCACACTATACATTTTTGGGAGAGCAATGCTTTACATCATTCATTCCTTATGTAAAGAGAGCGATTCTATCTTCTGTCCCTACGCTGTGATGGTTGAGTCATAATGGCTAATTAACGATAGTGTGATTCGTTCCGTCACAATTGTTGCCCAGGTGAGCTAGCTAGATTATTGGCAGAGTATCGGCGGTGTCTAAGGGCAGCGAATCTCACGAATTCGGTCTGCCGCTATGCCAGGTGCGCCGTGTCAGGTGCACTCTGGAAAACCGTGTATATGGCGTCGCCCAACTTCTGCGGCTGGCCGGAGCTTGGCCTTTGTTATGTTGTGATGACTGTGAAATGTATATGTATTGCACCCGGGGTATCAAGCACAAATATATGTTAATGTAACACCACAGGCTCTTCAAACGTTTCGCTGTATTTCTGTAACCCCTCTACCACAAGTCGATTTATCCATTAAGGTCTTAACTGGCACCACATACCTACTTTGCCTCCATGAGATAGTGCTCTGAGTCCAGGCGAAAAAAAAAAACAACAAAGTAGCAGTCGTTCAGCAGTGACGTCGCAATACGTTGAACAATCATCATCATCGGAAAACCGAGACAGGGCACAAAGGAAACTCAAAGCTATCATCGTCCCCTAATCTTATTATATTCTTTCTTACCTAAAAGAAAAATTAATTTTAAAAAAATATAAAAACGCCGAAAACCATTCCACCATTTCGGCGTTATCGTTGCGTCTTCCAATCAGCACCTGCCACTCGACACCTGTCTTTTGCCGGCTCCGAATGTTTCTATCGCTGTCCGCATCTGCATAAAGAGCGGCCCTTCCGCGCCGGAGAGCGCTCGTCGCCCGTTTCCGGCGCGCCGGCGGCAATCGCGGCTCGTTTGGTGCGCGCCCGCCCGGCCGGCTGCGTGCGTCCAATTTGCAGTCGGTTTTATACAAATCATTGGGTGCCGATTGGGCGAGTCGTGCCGCCCTCGTTAGGGGCCATTGTCGGCGGCAAGGGTCATTCTAAACTGGCTGCCGGCCGTGAGGCGACTGCCGAGCGGCCGCCGCCCGCCGGACAGGGGGAGGACGACTCGGCCGAGAGACGAGACTCGAGAGGACGGATGGGAGTCGGACCAGAGGACGTATAGATGGACGTAGACCGAGAGGGTAAAGAAAAGAGGGCACTTGCATACGACCGGGATGAGAGGAAAACTAAGAGCGGGATTAGAGCACCGATAATATGAGGATAATAGGACCGAGAGGATGAGGATTGATGGAGGAATGGATAATGTCGAAGAGGATGAACAGATAGATGGGGCACGAGAGAAGCGTTGATGGATGGGATTTGGGAATGGTTTGGACTAGGATTGAAAAGGAACAGAGGAGGACAGGATTGAACGGATGCCAGCATATACGAATATGAGAGAGGAAGGAAGTTGCGTCTTTCTTGTAAGAAACTGTGGCAAGTTAAAAATTGATATTCTTCCTCCACTCCACAGTACAATTCAGTCCTCTTTTTGGCTGAGCTCCCTGTTATTTACGACGCCCAACAGTGCTAGATTGTCAATGAATATTTAGCACAGACCGAGCCGGGTCATTTTCACACCGATTAGACTAAACTGACACCTCGAACTTCGGAGCCAGTGCATGCTATTAATCTCTGTTGGTTTAGTTGAATTTCGATGCTCGTTTACGGCCCGTGGAGTCACGCAACTGTTCCGCCAATATTTGAAGTGTGAAGCTTGTCATTGCCGATGGGAGAACTAATAATTACTCACCGTCTAACTGGGGCGTGCTTAGGACAAAGGATTAATTCGACGCGTGTTCTGACTAATCACCGGTGATTTGGCCGGCGGCGGGATGTCCGTGGCGCGGCGGCCTCGGGGAGGTGCGCGGCGCGCCTGTGATCCTCGCTCGCAAGTCGCAGGTGTGAACACCCCGGAGTACACAGCGGGGCGTGTTTCGGCCGCTCGGCTGCCGTGATTATTTCAGCGCCCGGCCGGCTCGGTTGATGTTCGCTCCCGCCGTGTTGTGGCGGCACGGACTCTGTTTTGCCGGCTGTTGACACGGCTAGCCGACCCAAAGACGCGCTGCACCCCCTCCCCCCGGCCGCGCCTCCCCCTAATGTCAGTGGAAACAGACGCCGCTCCTGAAAGGAACTAAAGCATTTAAAAGTTGCTCAAAGCTCAATAAGTCAATAGAAGGGTTAGAAACGGAACGACAGTAGCGATAAGAAATGAGATCAATAGACACGAAAATGGTGAAGCACATGCCCCGAACCATCGTCGCTGAATGTGCAGTAGAAAACACTTCGCAGCTGTCAACAATGTTTCATTTATTAATTAATTTGATTAAGATGAATGGCGAAAAAGACGATTTATCGCTGACAGAGATAAAGAGGTAAGCAAAGTCTGGTGCTGAGTAGCATTCTGTTTTGAGTCGTAAGTCCAATAGGCGATCAAACATTGGAGATAGGAATAAATATTTCAGGTATGAAAGTAGGAGTAATTTGATGCGGTTGTAACAATTGTCAAATGCAAGGCAGCAATCAAAGCAAAGCAATACCATCATGCTGAACGTGAACAACACGCAGTAGCCTGTGGCTTGGACAAATGTCGACTTTTTCGGGGAAGACACAATATCTGCATTAGCTACACATTTCGGTAGCGCCTAACGCCATACAATCGTGTGCCGACCGCGGTGAACCTCGCGCCTCTCTCAGCCGTGACCGGACAGACAGACACGCCGTTCATCCCTCTCTCCCTCGGCGCGGTGTCGGGCGCCCCCGAGCCGTCAGTCCGTCAGACCGTACCCCGCAGCTCATTACCCACCGCCGGGCCGCTTAGCGTTTCCGCTCGAGCCGCAATGTGGCACGCGCTGCGAGAGCGCTCCGGGCGTCTGCGGTCGCCGGCTCCCGGCTCTGTACCCCTCTGATGGTAATGACAGGTTCGCGGCGCGGTGGCGGCCACCCCTCGCGTGACCCGGGGCCCGTCCCCGCCCCAGCGGCGCCCACCGAGGGACGTCTATCGGCGCCCCAAATTAGTCGGAATTAATGAAGCCTGACCCGCTTGTTATGCGTCACGCGCTCGGCAGCGGCTCGAGGGCCGGCAAATATTGAAACGTCGCTGCGCAGTGTCCATGAGCGGCCGCTGGCTGGTATCGGGGGAGAGGAGGCCGGTGTAGAGGCTGGAGACGAGACACCTGGACAGTAGGACGGTGCGTTGTCGCCGGTAGCCGCAGGGGATGGGACCGGGGTCCCGGCGGCGGGTCGCAGGAGTCGGAGTGGGTTCCTCGGCAGCCGTATCTACGGCCGGCGGATGTGGATGTTTGGTGGGCCGCTCGCGGTGCGCCGCCAGACGGCCGGCAGCCAACAGGCGGCCGCCGGCTTCCTCTCCGCTAATCGCCGCCAGCTGGGCGCTTGTTTAACTCTTCTTTCACCGTTAAAAGCCGATCGGCCATCAGGGGTTTATTAATTCGCCGTCGTCGTCGGCCGTCGTCGCCGGCGGCCGCTGACGGCGGCGGCGCTTCCATCTCCGGCGCAAATAAACGCCGTCGGCGGCGGCGGCGCGCGGCAGAGGCCTGTTTACAGGCCGGCCGACTGGCGGCGCCCGCCCCACCCTTTGTTGTCACTCCGCCTCCTACGAGGCGCAATTAAATCACTGATGTAAGCGTCGCTGTTTATTTGGCCAACAACCTTCGCCGCGTGAGTGCTAGTGGCCGGAAGCCTTGAGTCGAGCGTCGGGTTCGACGCGACGTTTACGGGCGCCGACTCGGGTGTCGGCGGCGGCGCGCGGGTGGTCTGTCGCAGCCGACGCGCCGCGCTGCCCTCTCGGCGTCGGCGCGCGGCGCGTGTGTGGCCCGCAGCGGGCCGGTGTTCACGGCCGGTCGGCGTGGAACATGTGCGCGCCGCTCCCGGCCTCAGCGGGGAGCCGGCCCACCAGATTTGTTTACGGCTGGTAGTCAATGGCGGATTGTTCTTCACTTGCAGCCGCCTCTGAGCGCCTCTGTCGCCGTTTGCTGATAATATCCAGACAGGCTCCACCGAGGTGAGAGCCATTTAGCTTTGTCAAACGCAAAAAGAAATGCGAGACTTGTCTTTCCGCCAAACAGTTAAGTTTACATTGGCGGAATTTATTGGCCAGGTGAAATTTATGGACGTTTGAGCGTCGCACTGTTGAATAACATCGGAGTTACGACTGACGAGCTGCTGCTGTGAGCTCGCCCGGCGTATACGTTCCTCGTTTTGACACGATAATTATGGCCGACCCACACGAATGGTAGTAGAGAGAAGGGAAAGTCCATACGAACGCTCCAGATATCAGATAAGACGCAGTAAATGAGAAAAAGTGACTTTGGGTAGTTATATGACAACGCGATTTAGAATGTGAAGCAAGCATGGGCCTTCACGAGACAAGGGCTGGTAAAACATCAGTTAGCTAGGCCATGGTATTGAAATAAAAGCGCATTCTGTCTAACAACCATGTAAATTCTTCTTTTATCTTATTTTGATAATTGGAATCGTTTAGCATGCTAAATTTGTTGTAAAGTTTTAGTTCCACCCCACTTTCGTTGTATGATGAATGAACTGGGCTGGCCGGGTTATCTCCCTCACCAGTGTGTGACACCTGACCCGGTGTCCAAACAGCCATCGCCGGGGGTCCCACAAGGGTCCGGCGGGGGTCCGACGGCCGTGGACGGGACCCCGCTGACAGCCAGCGCCGTGTGCGGTACGAGGTCAACCACCACCCGGACTCTGAGCATTGCTCTAAAGTCTAAGCACATCATTACGTGCTTTGTGATCAAAACGGCGTCGTCAGGTCGGATTGTGAGTGTATCTATGTGAATTAAATATATTCAATTGCATATACTTGCATCTACGACAGCGTACACATAAACAATCTGATTGAGGCTCTCAATGCGAAACGAGAATCGCTTTTTGCCAGCTTATGTTCGAGTACGTATGTACTTCTCACCTCTTGCCCTCTTCTGCTCATTCGTCACCACTCCGCTTCATTTCTACATCGCCTTCTGTAAGATGACCACTCTTTTGCAACTGCCGAGCGCCGTCTCCGTATCCGCCGATCAAAGGTGTGCCCCTGCGGCCCCTTACCGCGGCCGTGTAGCTGTCGGCGGCGGCGGCTGCTCGTTAGCGGGGCTGTCGGAGCGCAGAATGGGCTCCATTACTCTCTCCCCAGGTGACGACGGGCCGGCCGTACAGCTGGGCCTGCTCCCGTTTTTACCCACCGCGCGACATACACCGCCGGAGAGCCCCACTCGGCAATGGACTCGGCGGGTGCACAGAACGGCGCTCACTCCTCCGGGACATAGTCTGATCTGGGAGGATGTCGTATCCCTCAAAAATATCCCAAAACGATATCCCCACGAAAATGCATGATAGCCC